TGTCTGCCTCTTTTCGGTTTCAAACAAGGTTCCAAATCTACGGAAGCTGCTCCCGTCCTGGGTATGATGATAAACTACATCCGGCAGCAAGGCTTTTGATGAGAAGGTTTCGAAGAGCGTGGAACTACATCTTAATTGCTGGTGTTTCCAGATCCACCCTGACCTGGGGATGGTAGCACCAGTCAGGGTCCCAGCTATTGGCAAACAGTTAGCACCCCAAAGGAGTCTAAACATCATGAAAATATAAAAATAGGTTCTAATGCCAGTAATACTTATTTCGGAAAAATTTAACCGGCAATACATTTTTGAAAATAAATATTACCAGCAATAAAAAATCTTGTCGGCATTAAATAACCCATTGAGGTGTTGATATGCCGTAAAACAAAAGAAACCAAACCAAATCTCCTACAAACTCATTTCTTACAAAGAATACATATTCTATTCATACGAACATATTCTAAAGATCTTGTCGGCATTAAATAACCCATAGAGGTGTTTATCTGCCGTAAAACAAACGAAACTAAAGCTGCTCGAGACATTTCTGGGTGCCACTTCAGCACGTGATCTGCATGCCGAATGTGACCTAAGAAAATGGCCTACATTAATATTTATAAGAAAACAAAAGAAGTATACATGAAATAGAAAAAGAAATGACGAAGTAGTCTTTATTATATATATATATATATATATATATATATATATATATATATATATATAGTTTAAGGTATGCTGTATTTATGGGTTAAAGTGCTCAATATCAGGGATACTGCGTATATAAATATAGAAGTAGACATTGATGTCAACATTCAGAGGTTGTTTCATGCTAAACGCAATAGTCATGACATGTGCGTTATGTTTTTGATATATATATATATATATATATATATATATATATATATATATATATATATATATATATATATATTTAAAAAAATTATAACATAAGTATGTTATAAAATGTTTGTTTCAACACCCTCGGTGTCTTATCAAGTGATGATGTCGAATATAAAATAAATGGTTTTAAAAGTTTCAAATTAACGATCCTTCGCTAGGGGAAAACATTGTTACAAAAGCTAGAATGACCAATCAAAACCCAAGTATAATAGCTATTCAGACCTTTAAAATACGGGTAATATTAAAAAAGAATTTATTCTAACCAATAATTATTAAATTATATGATAAAATTTGATATTGAAATTAAAAACTGCCAATTTTAAAATCCAATTTAATCACTATTAAGTTAACATGTTAAGTTTATTAATTATAACATGATTTCATTGTCAAGCTTTTGAATCTTCCTATATTTATATGAGGAAAGCTCATCAAAACAATTACCATGAACATACTTATCAGATTAAGAAACTGTTGGCATAGAACTTACGGTTACATCTAGCCATTTCACCTGTAAAATGATGAGACCTAGCTGCCAATCTAGTACTGCACTTCAATTCATAAAGGCTAGGTACCAAAGAGGATAGCTCATCAAAACAATTACCATGAACATACTTATCAGACTAAAAACCTGTTTGCATAGAACTTATGGTTACATCTAGCCATTTCAACTGTAAAATGATGAGACCTAGCTGCCAATCTAGTACTGATCTTAAATTCATAAAGTCTAGGTACCAAAGAGGAAAGGTGGGTTGTTGAAAATCCAAGCATTTTTCCCAAATCTGAACAAATGATCAAACATCAGATTTATTTGGGAATCAGGAGGAATATGAATGGTTCGTTCAAGAACATTTCAACCCCAATTCTTCCTATTTCCAATGGTTCAATTACTCGGTTGTAATTTTATTTGAAAATATTTTTAATCTTTAATTACTTAATTATTCGACATTTTGATTATGGGGACAAATATTTCTAAAATGTACGTTGTTGTTATTAAATTCTAAATTGTAATACAGGAAGTAACAAGATAAAATATTTGTATTTTTATGTTATTAGAGATAGATACTTATACAGGTTGTCCATAAATTCCGTGCGCAATTTAAAATACTTGCAGCTTTGTAACTATACATAATAGAAACAATATGTAAAAAGGATGAGAAATCATGATATATATTGTTTCTGGTGTTCAGAAAATTTATTTATTATTTTTTTTTACTGATTTTATTTTCAATTTCTTCAAACTTCAAAAGGACTCTTTTTTTTTTTTTAAAGAATTGCTGTTTGACTCCATTGGATTTCTTTTTATATGGACATGGTGAAAATTAATGTTTATTCAACTAAACCTTGATCTTTAAAGGTATTACAAGCTCGGATAATTGGTGTGATTGAAGGTATGACTGCAAAATCATTTACAAAATGTTTTCCAAAAACTACAGAATCGTATTAGCCTTTCTACGTGTAATGATGTATAGACATATTGAAAATTAACAAAATCCCAATAATAAATTTAAAGTCTTCTTCCTTATCCTTTTTACACATTATTTCTATCATGTACCGTTACAAGTATTTTAAATTACACACAGACTTTATGGACGATGTATATATATATATATATATATATATATATGACGTCACACATTATGAAATGGATAAAGTCCGACAATTATTTTAAGACATTTTTATGTTTATATATATATATATATATATATATATATATATATATATATATGTAATGCATCACTGTTTGTAAGAATAGAGCGCTATGGCATCCGGTAATGCATTTGTATAGCACGTATATAATACATTAAAATTTCCGTTCTCTGCCTTACACCAATAACCTAAGAGTCACTGAACTGATAAGAAATCCGTCAAGTTTTGTTTCTGGCTTAAAGCAATCGGATGTCTAGCCACACTCATGAGCTGTGATACAGCAAAACAGGCAGTCTGTGGATGATTTTATATATATATATATATATATATATATGTGTGTTTGTGTGTGTGTGCTTGTGTGTGTATGTATGTATATCTGTGTGCGTGTTTATGTAAGTATATATGTGTGTGTATGTATGCATATATATGTGTGTGTATGTATATATGTGTGTATGTATTTATATATATATATATGAGTTTGTATATATATATGTGTGTGACTATGTATGTATATATGTGCGTATGTATACATATATGTGTGTGTATATGTATGTATGTACATATATATGTGTGTGTGTATGTATGTATATATATATGTGTGTGCCTATGCTTATATGTGTATGTATATGTGTGTATGTATATATATATATATATATATATATATATATATATATATATGGGTATGCATGTATTAGTGTGTATTATATATGTGTGTATTGATTTTCTAAGCCCGGCTTAGATGTGGCACAAGGCCGAAAGTATGTGGCACTCAGTGAGGATCGAACTCACTATTCATTCGTAATTGTTCTTGCGAGACAAGCTTGCTAACCATTACACCACCTTGAGGTGCCCAATATATATATGTGTGTATATATATGTGTGTATGTATATATATGTATATATATATATATATGTGTGTGTATGTATGTATATCTGTGTGCGTGTTTATGTAAGTATATATCTGTGTGTACGTATGCATATATATGTGTGTATGTATATATGTGTGTCTATGTATATATATATGTGTGTGTATGTATGTATATATGTGTGTATGTATTTATATATATATATATGAGTTCGTATATATATATGTGTGTGACTATGTATGTATATATGTGCGTATGTATACATATATGTGTGTGTATATGTATGTATGTACATATATATATGTGTGTGTATGTATGTATATATATATATGTGTGCCTATGCTTATATGTGTATGTATATGTGTGTATGTATATATATATATATATATATATATATATATATATGTGGGTATGCATGTATTAGTGTGTATGTATATATGTGTGTATTGATTTTCTAAGCCCGGCTTAGATGTGGCACAAGGCCAAAAGTATGGGGCACTCAGTGAGGATCGAACTCACTATTCATTCGTAATTGTTCTTGCGAGACAAGCTTGCTAACCATTACACCACCTTGAGGTGCCCAATATATATATGTGTGTATATATGTGTGTGTATGTATATATATGTGTGTGTGCGTGTATGTATAATATGTGTGTATGTATGTATATATGTGTGTGTATGCATGTATTTACATTTGTGTGTGCGTGTAGATAAAACAAATAAATTTTCTGAACACCAGAAACAATGAGACATGATTTCTCATCCTTTTTACAAATTCTTTCGATCATGTTTAGTTTCAAAGCTCCAAGTATTTTTAATTGCGCATAGACTTTATGGACAGCTTGTAGAAGCATAGTGTACGCATCTCTGCTATTTGCATCTTTGTATATTCTACCATTCTTTCCTGCTATGAATTTCTTCATGACATTAAAGGAGAGGGTGACTTTCGTTTAGTCATAATTCATCCATTCCGAGTTTATCTGAGCTGTCTGGATCTAATTGATCTCACTGCTTCAAAATAAGTAGACGTCATTCATTCGAAAATGCATAAAACGTTTAATTGACGAGACTCAATAAAATTTATTTGCTGAAGGTCAGACAAGTTCGTGGGCCACTGTAAACTGTTTCTTCCGAATAGCAAATGTTCATTTTACCATAAAACTGCTTACTTGACCATCAGAAGTTCACAGGGAGTTGAAAACAGATATTTCTCTACCACCGCCATCTTTTTTTTGAAAAAAATCGATACAGCGATTTTTTTTTCTTTCTTCTTTTAATCAAATTTGTATTTGGAAAGAAAATCAGATAAAAATTTTTAAAAATTTTTAACAAACAAAACAAAAAAAAAGATAGAAAACCAACAGTTCGGGAATTTTTATTGATTTATTTTATTTTCATTAATTTTTATTTTATTTTAATACCATGTCTCTTCAGAATGTAGGTGATCATAAATTTCCCCAGATTCCTTTATTTTATTATCTGTGAATCGGCATTATTGTTTGGTAAAGATAGTGGAATATTTTCTCATTAATATTTCTATTTTACGGATATGAATTCAGAGTTGTTTTTCTCCTAAACTGGCTGTCACTCAAGGCTAAAGAACACAATCTACCCTCCTCCTCCGCCTCTCACCTCTCTCTCTCTTTCTCTTTCTCTCTCTCTCTCTCTCTCTCTCTCTTACTCACTGTTAAATGCTATATACCTACAGGGCACCAACAATCATGGATCTCCACAGCTTCCATTTTCTTTATTATCTGTGATTCACCAATACTTCTTGAGTAAAATAATACAGTGATTTCCTGTTGCTTTTTTCACAATTATGAATTAAAAGTTAAACTTCTCCTAGATTGGGTGCCATCCAAAATAGTTCTCTCTCTCTCTCTCTCTCTCTCTCTCTCTCTCTCTCTCTCTTTCTCACTCTTTCTTTCTTGCTCTTTCTCACCCTTTGTTTCTCTCTTTCTTTCTCACCCCCCTCTCTCTCTCCCTCGTTCTCTTTCTTTGTTTCTCTCTCTCTCTCTTTCTCTCTCTTTCTTTCTCGTTCTTTCTCACTCTTTGTCTCTCTCTTTCTTTCTCGTTCTCTCGTTCTCTCTCTTTCTTTCTCGTTCTCTCGTTCTCTCTCTCTCTCTCTCTCTCTCTCTCTCTCTGTGTGACCATTTATGATGGAATTAGTTTGGACGTATTTTTATTTTACTCCAACATTGTACACGCCTGTCTCTCTCTTTTCTCTCTCTCTCTCTTTTCTTGCTCGATCTCTCTCCTTTTGCCCTCTCTCTCTCTCTCTCTTTCTCTCTCTCTCAATTTCTAGTTCTCTACTAAATACCTTGTGCCGACAGGGCAAACAATTATGGCTCTCCACAGATTCCCTTTTCCTTACTATCTGTAATTCGCCATTATTGCTTGGGAAAGATACAGGAGTAGTTTCTCGTTACTTTTTCCTACAGTTTTGAATTCAGAGTTTTCCTTCTCCTAGACTGGCTGCCATCCAAGGATACAGAACACAATCTACTCTCCTCCTCTACCCCTCCCCCCTCTCTCTCTCTCTCTCTCGCTCTGTCTCTTAAACGCCATGGACCTATAGGACATAGACACTCATGGCCATCTACAGATTCCCTTTTTATTATTACTTGTGATTCGCCATTACTTTTTTTAGGAAAGATAGTGGTGTACATTCTTGTGCAAATTAATTGAAACAACCGCTTTAGTTTCCTTTCTTTCACTATACGGTCAGTTTTAGACCCGCTGGTGTGACAGGGGGTAATCGATTTCTATTTTTTCCTTAGATTAGTTCATTTGTTGTGGTGTTCAGTAATATGAATCTATTCTCGGGATGTGTGATGAAATTTGTTTAGCCTTGAAAAATATTGCGTCATCCGTGATTGAATCAGACTTTTATCACGCCCAGACACCATTGTTCCGACTGTCGATTAGTTGTCCTACGGCCATTGTTTGCGATGGGCGTTACTCCAAGGAAGCGTACGAACATTTGTAACGTTGCACGAACACAATGGCAATCCTTAGCAGTGAGTAAATCAAAGTATTATAGGAAACTCTCCTGATTTAAATCCAGTCGAGAATTTGTGGTCAATCTGCAAGGGGCGACTTCGTGGAATGGACATACGAAGTACTAAAATGTGCACTGGGTCATGTTTCATTAGAAAAATACGAATAAAATAAATAATAACGGAATTATTCTTTTTGTTTCAGTTAATCTGCACGGGTGGGGGTAGTGTGCCGTTGCTTTTTGTATGGTTATAAATCCTGGAATTTGAAAAAAGAATACGGGCCAATTCTAACTTCTGCGCCACGAAACTTTACGCTGCTCACACATGCCCCATGACTATTTAGTGCAATAGAGATCTGCGCCAAATGAGAGTTGTAGTATCACACACACACACACACACACACACACACACACACACACACACACACACACACACACACACACACACACATAGACCCCGAGAGACACATGCACAGAGACACGCACAGAGACACAGACATAGAGAGACACACACGCAGACACATACACACGCAAACAGACACACACACGCAGACACACAGAGACACAGAGAGACACACGCGTAGACACATACACAGAGACAAAGACATAGAGAGACACACAAAAAGACACACAACGACACGTACACCCACACACAGAGACACATACAGACACACACACGCAGACACAGATACACAGAGACACACATACAGACACATATACACAGAGACACATACAGACACACACACACAGATACACATACACACACACATACACATATACACAGATACACACGCAGACACACACAGACACACGCACACACACACACACTTTGCTTGGCTTTTGGAATGTGTCTTTGACTATCCCAAGACGCTTTCGGATTTCTTTGTCACACTTTCCATCCTCTGCTAAAACTTCTGCACTTGTTAAATTTTGCTACTTCCGATTCTCAATTCGCATTTTGAGATTATCCTTCTGCCAATAATCCATGATGTCTGCCTTGTTGCAGTTGGTGTTTAATCTTTTCTTCCCGCTTTCTTTAACTACCTTCGCTAGGATTTTTTTTTTGTAGATTTCTTTCTGTGCAAATCAAAAACTAACTTACAATCTAAAAAAAATATTTTCTGGCTTTAAATAACCTACAAAATGTTGATAAACCTTAAAAAAAAACAAAAAAAAACGAGTCAACCAAAAAATCTTACACCACCAGCACATCTATATAGTTTTTCAGTTCTTGTCTCAGTGAAATCAACTAACTCCCACCTTTGACGTTTTTATTATTCCCTCGCTTTCGTAAACACCCTCTTGGCAGACACATAGCGACAGGAGTCGATTTAAAGAACCCTTTCATTTGCCCTTGATGTCGTCTCATTTTATTGTTCAACTTTTCTGGGGTTAACCTCTTCACACACTTTTTATTTCCATTATATTATTTGTGCAATTTACAATAATAGGCTGATTTTGTCAGTAACGCCTACTTCCTTTCCTCCTCCTTACGAACAATAACTTTTCCTGTTTGCAACGTAATTCTATAGTAAAAACTATTAGCAATGTATTTCTATAGTGAAAAACATTAGCGATGGATTTATATAGATACCTCCAAAAAAAGTGTTACCTAAAGTTTAAAATGCATTTTAAAAACGAAAAAAGAAGGCTTTCATTTTACTTTTAATTCCAAGTTAATTGATTAACTTTAATATTTCTAATGAGTAAATATTTTTTCGACCATTTTTTTCGATCATTGAATCAATGAGAACGATTCTTTTCTTAGTTGCTTAGTATGCACTTCACCAGGGCGACATACAATTTTGAATTCCGAGTTTCCTTAGACCGTTTCCCACTTAAGGCTACTGAAACCAGTCCTACCATTTACCTGTAGCTTTAGAGCAGTATTCATACCTTTCCCAAAGGTTAGTAGCACGTAAAGAAATGTAATAAACTCGATTGGAATTCGAACTCAGCTCTCCGATTCCTCAATCCGAGCTGCAATACATTACTCAATAAGTAAAATTCTTTGCTGTATTTCAAACCGAATTTAAATTGATTGGAATATTTTTTTTGAAAACACTAAAATCGGCCACATTGACAAATCTATCAGCACAACATAATTCTCTGTACTAAAAAACAAAAAAAAAAACTTTAAAAAAATAAAATATACTTTTCTGAAATTTAATTTGAGAAAGATTAATTGATTCCAAAAGTTTAATTAATGTGAATAAAAACAAATATTTTTAGTTTAAAGTATCCTAGGAAAGCATTTTTTTAACACAGAAGTGAGTGTTTTTATGAGGTGTTGGGAGGTTTATTTTTAAGTAAAGGGCACATAACTGTATAAATAGTCTGATGATTTGTTTTATAGGAATAAAGTGTCGCTGCCGATACTTGAGTTTGAACATAGCTCGCCTGTAGCAAACACAGGCGATCCTATTATTGAATTATGTGGGCCACGTGACCCTAGAGGAAACACATATATGTAGGAGGTAGCTGACGACACGATCATTATTCCTAGCCTATCATCTATTACTATTCGGATCCCCATTTCTAGTCTATCCTCTATTACTATATGGAGCGCTATTCTCTACTCTATTCCCTATATTATTTCTCTATTCGGATCACTATACGGTTTACTTGTCGAGCGACTATTATCGAGCAAGTACTATTAGTGTGAGTGATATCCGAAGGCATCTGACACCAGTATTGTTAAACGACGTTACTATAGTTGTATCTGCAATTACAAAGTCTCTACTACAATGAGAATTACGGAAGTGACAACGAGTATTCGTTGACATCACAGATACAATACTACGTGAACAAGTTTTTATATAATTTTTTAGCTACCGATTAATCTTAAAAAATTAGGAAACTCTTCTGAGTAATCTATGATTTTACTGAATTTTAGGTACTTTGGCTTCATAGTCTTATCTACGAAGACCCTTGATGAGGAAATGTTGAAAATTACCATTAATTTTAAATTTACTAAAGTTAGCGCTCTTATTTTCTGATAATGTCTTATATGGACATCCGTATATAAAAATTTCAAAATTATTTTTAAATTACCAGGTTTCGCTGAATTTTAGTAACCTTATCCATTTATGATTAGTAAATACAGTTTTTTTTAATAAGTAAATATAGTTGCTGATGTTGTAGGGAGACACGGTGGAGTAAAGGATAGCAGCTAGGATTGAGGAATCAGCAGAGCCGAGTTCGAATTCCAGTTAAATCCATTACATTCATTTACGTGCTAATACCCTTGGGAAAATGTATGAATCCTCTTCTTTTCCTTCCAGCAGTGATGCTCACTTAGGCGATCATGTATCTTTCGATGCATGACTGACGAGGCAGATTTTTTCCCGCAGTACGTTGCCATTTATTTCTGCGGAACCAGTTGCCATCCAAGGCTATAGAAGCCGTTCTGTCCTGCTGTTTGCCCATGGGTACAGTTCTTTGTGCGCCAGCCCATAATGTTCAAAAAAGGATGGTCTTCGCCAAAACCAACATACTTCACTCGCTCAAAAACTTTTTAAACCATTGATCTTAGAAAGCGGTTGTATATAGCTGAGAGTTTAGATATTTCTGAACGGGTTTGGTTTGGTTTGGTAAATAGCAGGACAGACCGGGTTCTATAGCCTTGGATGGCAACTGGTCTACCGCAGAAAGACATACTGGCAACCTACAGCGGGAAAAAGTCTGCCTCGTCAGTCATGTATCAAAAGTTACGTGATCGCCTAAGCGGATATCACACATGGCACAAAACTGACAGACTCTGCCTAATTTTTAGATTAAGTCTCCTCGTGCTATCCTTTACAAGAGCCAGATAGGGCCGAAAATAGGATAATGTTGTCAAGAGCCAAATAGGACCGAAAATAGGATAATGTTGTCAAGAGCCAAATAGGGCCGAAAATAGGATAATGTTGTCAAGAGCCAAATAGGACCGAAAATAGGATAATGTTGTCAAGAGCCAAATAGGACCGAAAATAGGATAATGTTGTGAAGAGCCAGATAGGGCCGAAAATAGGATAATGTTGTCAAGAGCCAAATAGGACCGAAAATAGGATAATGTTGTCAAGAGCCAAATAGGGCCGAAAATAGGATAATGTTGTCAAGAGCCAAATAGGACCGAAAATAGGATAATGTTGTCAAGAGCCAAATAGGACCGAAAATAGGATAATGTTGTCAAGAGCCAAATAGGACCGAAAATAGTATAATGTTGTGAAGAGCCAGATAGGGCCCAAAATAGGATAATATTATCAAGAGCCAAATAGGACCGAAAATAGGATAATGTTGTCAAGAGCCAAATAGGGCCGAAA